AAATTTTATATTTGTTTTTTTAAAAAATAAATTAATTAATTAATTTTTACCTGAATGTTGTTGAATATCATTGTTATTGTCAACTTCAATTATTTTTTTATCAGAATCTTGCTGATTATTATTATTATCTTCGATTGCATTAAAAGGTTGAGTATTATTATTATTGTTGTTATCTTCAATTATATTAAATGATTGTTGAGTATCATTATTATCATCATCTTCGATTATATTAAAAGTTTAAAAATATAAATATATAAAATAAAATTTATTACTTTTAAAATAATAAAATAATTACCAGCTAAATAATCACTTTCATTCATAGGGGGTGCAGACTGAAATCCTCTATTTGGTAAAGTAGGAGATGTGGTTTGCTTATTAATTAAAGATGAACTATTTTTATCAGATGATTCAGTAGAAGATGAATTTTCATCTGATAAAGATTGTTGAAAGTTATTATTGTTGGTTGTATTAATCATATTACTAAAAGATAATACTGTTCGAGAACTTCTTGTTGAAAACGATGTCTTTTTATTTTTTGGAGGTGTTATGTTTTTGCATTTTGGAGGAGCAGGAATACTCTTTTCATGTGCTTCTTTTAATTTAGCCTTACGAATAGTTTCCACTATAAAAATATATTTATAATAATATATATTATTATTATTATTAAAAAAATTAAAGAGATATATTTACCCCAGTTTCCTATAATATCTTCCGAGAGCTTTTGCAAAACAAAATCCGCCACAGAAACAGGAAAGGTTGGAAAGTCTGATTTAAACTAAATAACCATAAAATTTTATAAAATATTTAAAATATTTTTTAAAATAAAATAAACAAATATAGAATAATATTACTTTCTCGATAACTTTTTGAACAATTCTTTGTTCTTGTTCTGATGCGCATTTTCCTTTTTGACAGCATGTATTTAACTGATCATGAAGATTTCTCTGCAAATATATTAATATTTATAAGAATAAATAATAAATAAATAAATAAATAAATAAATATATAAACATAAAACTGAAAATTAATAAAAATATTTAATACTACTTGATAGGACCAATATGTATCATACGGCAAGTTAAGAAAATCTTTCCAATCTTTGCCTTCTTTATTTTTTTTCCATCATTTCCATTCCTCTTTGGTAATTGGATTTTGAGCAGACCCACGTGGGAACTAAATTATTTAAAATTAGTATTATTATATAAATTATATTTAATATAATAATAAATACTTGCCGCTGTATTAACAATTCAAATAATAGCATTAGATAGTACTGGCAAAGTAGTTTCAGGCATAGATAAACTTTGTTGCTGAATTTGTATAATAGTTGCAAGTGTTTGTTGTAAAGCACTTGGGTTTGTTAATAATTGGAGTAATAAAGCAGCATTATTGTTATCTATTTCTGTAAAGTTTAGAAGTAATAAGAATTAAAAAAAAAACAAACCTTATTAAATATTATATCAATCATTTAATCATTTATTATCGTAAAGCTTAAGAGTCTAATTAATATATAAATT